TCTGTAGAAACGGCAGGTCTACTCAGCAGAAAACAACCAGGAACAGCCAGTATAATAATGGCTTTAGATAAATCTTTAATAAGGACCGTTGGAAAACTCGAGTCTGAAGAAGCTGCTTGGACAAGCAGCGGAACGTAGCAAACCAAAAGAAAAGTCCAGTTGCCCTGACTCAGCCTCCCGATAACGCCACCCGGATCTTCATCAACACATTGGAAAACTTTGCGGTTCCGGTTGCTGCACCTCAGAGTATTTAAGAACTGGGAAAGGTGCCAGAAAGGACAACCAACTGCTTAGTGGGCTCCAACAGCTGGGATTTTTATTTTTTATTATTTTAAACCATTTATATCGTTGCCCATCTCATTGCTATGACTATCTGCACTTGATTATGTGCCATCAAATCAGCGTGGATTATGTGCCATGGAGTCATTTTCTCCAAGACAAGCTATCCCTTTCCCAAAGGTGCACTCATCACCTCTAACTGAATCCATCCGCCTTGCTGCTCATTGTCTTCTTTTTCTTTCCACCTTTCTCAGCATTACAGCCTTTTTCCAGAGAACTGGGTTTTCCTATAATGCGTCTGAAGTAGGATAATTTGAGCCTGATCATTTGTGCCTCGAGTGAGAATTCTGGGTTGATTTGTTCAATGATCCATCAGTTTGCTTTCTTGGCTCTCCAAGGTATTCTCAAGAGTCTTCCCCAACACCAAAGTTCAAAAGCATCAATAATATCTTGCTTCTTCAAAGTCCAACTTTTGCTTCCATAGTGTGTCACAAGGAATCCCATGGCTTGCATGATTCTGATCTTTTAGAGAGAGAGAGACACATACAGGTATTTGAGTATCTTTTCCAAGGCCTTCACGGCTGGTCTACCGAGTGCTAGTCTGCGGCATATTTCTTGACTGCTTGTCCCTTTACCATTGATAGTCCATCCTAAAAGGCGGAAGCTATCCACCACTTTGATATCTTCGTTGTCAGTTCTAAGACTGTTCTACCTGTTGTCATTAGTTTGGTGGTCTTTATATTTAATTTTAGTCCCACTTTTTCCACTGCGGTCCTTGGATTTCATTGCTAGAGTTTGCAGATCCTTTGCATTTTCAGCTATCAATGTAGTGCTGGTTATTGATGTTTCTTCCTTGAATTTTAAAATCATGTTTTTTTTTTCTCATCCAGCCTCCCTCAATGTATATTTAGCATATAGGTTCAATAAATAAGGAGAAAATATACACCTTGTTTCATTCCTTTGCCGATCTGGAATCTTTCAGTTTCACTATGTTCCATCCAGACTGGCTTCCTGCACTGTGTATAGGTTACACATAAAGACAGTGAGGCATTCTGGGATTCCCATTTTCTTAAAGACATTCCACAGCTTGACCTGTTCAACACCATTGAAGGCATTTAGGTAATCAATTGAGTATATACTGACTTATTTTAGATATTCTTTGGTTTTCTTAATTATTCAGCGTGCATCAGCAATAATTCTTGTTCCTCACCTTTTCTAAAATCAGCTCAAACACCCAGCATTCTCCTTTCCTTGTAAAGCTCTAATCTGTGTTGATGGATCCTAACCCAACTGTTCATGAGCAACAAGAGAGGGAGGGTATTGCCCCTCTCTCAGAAGGACACAAGACTAGCTGTGATGGGTCAGGCTAAGACCTTGCATGATCCAGCATTATGTCAATCACAGTGGTCAAACAGATGCTTCATGTGTACTTGTAAGGAAGAGACACAAGACTGCCTTCTCTTCCACTATTCTTGCCCTGCAGCTAGGCTTTGGAGGCCTGCTGTCCCCATAGCAAAAATAATACTGAGCTTTCAGGAATACTAGCCCTTGATAGGCATGTTCTCCATGAATTTATCCAGCCCGTTTAAAGACATGCAATCCAGTAGCTATCACCATGTGTCTTGTAGTAATGAATTCCATGTGTTACTGATGCATGATGTGCAGAAATGCTTTCTTTGTTCCACTTCCTTCCATCAGTTTCACTGGTGAGGAGAAAAACTTCTCCCTGTTCGGGCTTCGTGCCATGCATGAGTATATTCAATAATACCTCCCACCTCCCTTTTTCTAAGCTAGAGAGTCTCAAG